GAGGTCATCAAAGTCGAACTCGGCTACTTCTTCAATGATACCTGACCTTCCTGGTTGAGAATGTTACGCAATATTGTTCCCACAACTTGGGTTGGTTGCGGAACGTCACGTATTGATTTTCTAACCGTTTCAGTGCGACAGCTTTATTATCCGGTAACCGCGGATGGTTTCTCTTCCATGGAAACTGGACGTGAATAATGCCGTCAATAACCTGAACGGTATCGTAATAGCGTTGGACGACTTCGGCGTTAACCTGGTCGTCTTGACGTGGGCTCATGCTGTCTGTGATCCCGATAAATTCGAGATCCCAGAGTTGGGTAATATCTGGATCGGAACGTTCCTGGACTGCTTCTGTCTCTGAGGTGGTAAGATATGGAAAAATTGTTGAGACATGTGCAGAACTGGAATGTTTCGAACCGGATACTACTGGTCCAAATCGTGTGTACACGATCATGAGTCCTGACGGTAATCTTCGTGCTCTCGTCGTGTCGACGATTCTCCAATAGTGATCCATCCCAATGAGGACATCTATGTCGATATCTCCATCGGTGACGAGATCGCTATGGTTGCACGAGGAACGTAATAACCGGATCGTATCTTGAGAGATATGAGTTCCGGCATGAATTGACGTAGTAATCTTACGAGTTCTCACCGCGAGTTTAACAGGTATACCCGCATGGTCTCGTAAGACTAGAGAAACACGAGATGAAACTTCAGTTGTCAGATGACCTCCGAAGCTTCGCGTAGTGAGTGGCTGAGAATCTTCAAACGGAAGTCCCAGTCTCGACGCAGTAGCCTCTTTTATGAAGCTGTGTTGTGCGCCGCTATCTAGCAGCAGCACTAACAGTTCCTCTGAGGACGTAATATTATTGCGTGTTCGCGCAGTGACTACCATAAGACGTGGGTCCTGTGGTAAGGACTGCTTGAATGGTCGCAAAACCGTACATTGAACCGTTGGGTCGGATTGATAATCTTCCCCTTCGGTCTCTGTGAGATCTCCAACGTAGAAATCGTCTGAAGCATAAGCCTCGACAGAATTCTGGTTGAAGTCTCGGTCACGGAATTGGACCGCACGCGGATACGGTGAGTTGCGTCTTCGCACAGGTGAAGATTGTCCGTTGCGTCGTGGTGATCTTGCTCGTTCACGATGTGAACGGGGTTGACGGAACGGTTCTCTTCCTCGACTAGGTGATCTAGAAGACCAACTAGACGACCTGCTGCGTCTTGTACGATACGAGTGTCTAGCCGCTTGTCTGCAGAGGGTGATATGATGACCTCCCTGACATGCTGAGCATGCAGGACGGTCACAATCTTCCATTCTATGACGTCGCGAAAAACACTTGAAGCACAAATGTTTGTCTGCGGCGATGCTCCACTTTGCACTAATTGACGTCACACGACTACAATTAGATGCTGAGTGGCGTCTCGATCCGCAGAAGGCACATTGTGCTGACGAATACGGTGTTTGGCGACGCGAACGCCTCGGTGACTGACTCTGACGTCGTGTGCGCCTACCGTTGTACGCATTAGAAGGAGACGAATCCCTTGAAGAAGATCGAGCAAATGATCTTAAAGCCAATGCATGCGATGGTTGATTTCTAGCTGGCGTTGAGTCCTCTACTACCTCGAAGGTCTTGACCACATTGTCAAGCGCTTCAAGGAGCTGAGGTACACCCCACGAGCTCGAATCCTTCGCCTGCAAATAGCCTACTTGCTCTAGCGTCTTCGAAGGAAACTTCTCTCGTATTATGCGCATGACGAAGATGTTCTCGTCATGGTCACCTAGCTTCTTAAGTTGAAGCCATAGCGACTTAACTTGCGCTAACGTAATACGTTGATTGATAGCTGAGTTTGTTGCCGGCTTGAGACTTTCAAGTCGGTTACTCAGTTGCATACGAATGAATTCTGGGCGAAAGTATGTCTCTCGCAACGTATTAATTGCTAGTTCGTAGTTAGCATCCGTAATCTCGTACCCGGCTACCATAGACAATGCTTCGTCCTTCAACGAGGTCCTGAGATAATGGAATTTGACTGTGGGTGGTAAGGTACGGTTCGAGTGAACCGCAGAGTCAAAGATATCCCAGAACTCCGCGAACTTGGCGATGTCTCCGGCGAAGACGGGGAGATCGAATGTTGGCAAACGAACTGCTTGATCATGCAAGGCACGATCTTGAAATGTATTACTGAGGGTTGCTATCCCTTCTCCGAGTCGTGGTTGACTCGAGGTTGGGTTAACAAGTACCTCTGTCTCCGTTCGATCTTGACGTCGATCGTGTTGTTCCTGGAGGAGTTCCTCTTCGGAACGATGCGACGTAAGCTCTGGGACAAACGCAATAGACCTAACTCCTGTAGGAGGTAAGTTCGCTGATGTAGTAGGGTTTTGTTTCTGAAGGGATTGCATCGCTACCTCAAGGCGAGCGAGAAGATCGCTTGCTGCGTCCTCGGCCGCTTCCCCTCCACTGGTTGCCCAGTGGGATAGGTAAGCGTTGACGAGTTCACGGCGCGACTCCTCAGTCTCACGTTGAAGGGCATGACGCAATGCTGCGTCTCGAACTTGATTCGCGAAACTAAATTCACGAGTCAAGATGCGATGCGCAACTGCAAGGGCCTTATCACGGTCCTTGAGCTGCACAGCCGCCTCGTCCGGATCTTCAGCGAGCTGGACGTCCTCCAGAAGTGAAGGAGAGGTGTTATCCACAGCTCGTTGGAGATTCTGGATTGCACGAAGTAATTCGTATTTCCTCAAATCTTCCATCAGAAGGCTAATCGTAGACAAACGTCGATTAGAATGAGAGTTGCCAATCGATGTTCGCCTATCAGTCAGTTTCCCATGGAGCGAGGATTACGGTACTGTCTCGCCTCGTACTATTTCTCTGCTTTCCCATGAGCGTGCATGAGAGAGTGGTACCTTTCCACGCCGAATCGGATCGATCGGTGCCGTTAAGCCTGGGAAAGTGCTTAATTGCTCCAATATCGATTCGCTCGTCGTGGGAAAGTCCGATGGATGTCTCTTTCATGACGTGTCGATTGGGAAATGGAATAGAAACGAGGGATCGACGGAATAGGGACCGAAAAACACGGAACCAACGGAGTAGGGATCGAAAATCGGATCCGACGGAATATAGAACGGATTAAGCTTGAGAGACGAGGATTTTGCTCGTCTTCTCGAGGGGAACGGAATAAAGATAGGAGAAACTTCAAAAACGAAATAAATTACGCAAACAAGCTGGAACTGGGAGGAGTGGGCAGTGGTGAGTATAATACGTGATATCTAACCTAAGGGTGGGAAAAAGGGACTAAACTACAACTACAAGGAATTGAACCCCTACGTACTAATTGTGGGGAGACCCTAGTTACCTGGAAAGGCCGGAGGGCTGAGTACAAGCCGATGGTTTACCTTTTAAAGGGCGCTGAGGGCACAGATCCAGGTAGGCCTTTTGTTAGTCCACAGGAGGTCTTTCGAGCCTCTCTTCTGGGGCAGCTTACCCATGGTGCACCATAAAGTAAGCCCTGCGCTGCTCGCGCCACGCGCCGCTTGACCTTCCACTCTACGACTTTTTGAAGGCGCCCGGCTTCAACACCGCAGCTGACGACGACCCTCGCCCGCATACTCTCCATCCCCACTGGACATCTCGAGAGCTGGTCCACCTACTTCCCGCACGGAAGCTGCACCGGTGTGCGACCGCGGCGAGCTACTCTAGAGGCCTCCTGGAGACTAACTCCGGGCTTCCCCGAGCATCCTGGTCCCAGGAGAGGAATCTAGGGCCCTATGGGCTTTTAGGTGGCAGGTTGCCACAGTCCTGCCGGACTAAAAACCCAATTCCTCTCCCGCCAGTTCGCATCCCGGGTTAGGATCGATGCACCCACCGTCCGAAGTACGGCAAAAAATGGGGGAAGGCGCCTCCAGTAGTCGAATGCCCTGCCAAGTCCCCCTGTGGGACCACCGGCTCCGGCATGGCTGATGGGTCGGGTGCGGACAGTGGTAGCTGGCCGTCCCCTACCCGGTTCCTGGTCTCGAATTTGGAACCGAGCGGGTCCGTTTCGACGGTCCGATGCACCATGTCGCGAACGGTGTGTATGCTCCCCGACACTCGACCTCCCGCCGAGCTGCCCATCAGCCCACCACGCTGCCTCCTGAGCGCCCACCAGGAGGAGCGGACCCAACTTCCCCCCGGGGACACAGGGGGCGCCCGTCGGCAGCTCAACCTACTCACTAGTGGCCGACGGGCTAACCTAGGTAAACAGCCCTACTAAACCCGAGTGACACACAACAGACCGATATAATTAGGGTAAACCCACATATAATACATAGAAAACACAATTATATTTACTAACATTTATTATGACGTAGTAACTCACCATACTCCTCGAACTCCCGGGGTCACCTCTCTCAGAGGTGAGCCCCACCAGCTGACTCGACGTATTAGACCCCCACGTTGGCTCGGCTTCTTCTGGGGGCTCCATGCGGCCGACGTGTCCTATCTGGGATGTTGTAAGGGCTGCTCCCAGACGGGGAGCAGGGGAAGGACACGACCGGCTTTGGGATGACAGGCGCTCCGCCAACATGGACTACGGAGCGACGTGCCCCTTCGCCTTAGCTGGCCTCATCGCGTTGCCCGGTGAACACCGACCTGCCACCGGTGGCCAGCTCCTACGAGCACCGCCGCTAGGACGGTGCGCGTAGCGCCGACTAACTGGCCTCGACCGCAGGGAGGCGGGGCCAATGGCGCTGGAGCGCGTTGGCAACCGAGCGCAAGTGGGCCGGGGCGCGCGGTGCGCCCAGCGGGCCACCGTCGCATCCGCGACAAATCTGAAGTGCGTTTCAGCATCGTTATTCTTGCAGTACATCTACCCGTGCGATTGTTCGAAGTTATTCCTGGCTCAAACCTTGAGAATTTCACTTACGACTATGAGGTTGCCAAGCATATCGGCGAACTTCTTGCAAGATTCCACATTATTGCTGATGAATCGAAATGTGAGTTTTGGTAGACTTTCTCAGAAATTTGTGTTATGAATGAAGCTGTAGAGCATTTTTTCCAGTGTCGGTTACCCATGTTCCATATATTGCCGTTGAACACAGACGAGGAATTCTGAAAGAGATGGAACTTCTTTTGGAGCGGTCAATCATTTCAAAGGAGAAAGCACAGCTAGTCGCTGAATGTCTAGCGGAGTTCGATGATCGAATCGCGAAACCACGACCATCTGCATGAGACCGGGTAAGAAGTCACCAGTCAATTTATTTTGTTCTTTACGTTTTTTTTTTCGGAATCTCGCTCTTTGAAAGCATCCCCGCAGCAGTCACATACACGAGGCGTGAAGACTTGTAAAGATGGCTAAGTACGTTAGTTCACATACTAAAAGCAGGCACAAAGGCGTTCCCTTAACAGGAGTTTTGATTGAGTAAATCTCTATTCAAGGTTATAAAATGAATGGAATTGACAGCCATTCCCGGCCGATTCAACGGCTTTTCTCTCTTCTTCTGACGTGGTGGTTCAGTGTCGTATGTAGTTCGAATAGCGATCCTTTTATTGCAAACCAACGAATACAGTATACAGACTCAAAGACGACAAGTCGAGTCTCACAGTAAAAAGCCAAAAGCAAACCCTAAGCTCAATCGACCAGTATATATATTGTTTTCTTAGGCGCACTACATTCCTATCCCCGCCATGAGATAAATGCTTTTTTCCCAAAGATAAGCGATTTTGTTTTGCTACGTAAATCTGAGAAACTTCTAAGGATCGCGAATCAGTCGCGATACAAATATTAAATAATATATTAATATACACAATGATATCAAATAATATATACACAATGCACACATCCATATGCGTTCCCCTTCTACTATAATATTGAAACTTCTTTCAATTTGGCAAATTTATCGTTCACAACGTTTTGGCCGAACGTTCGCTTGTCATTCACAATTTTACTTCCTTTCTCTAGAATTTGTGTGAGTTTGAACTGAATTGAAAATTCATAAGGTAGGTTTGAAAAACCTTTACTAAACTGAGGCCCATGTAACTATAATATATTTCGGGGACCACAATGTTTATAATTACATTAACATCTGACCCAAAAACGAAAACAAAAAAAATAGGAAAGAGTCAAGCATGCGCAAAAGTGATGAACTGGGTGCGCGAAACACATATCCCGCATGGCGCAATATGGCCCACAATGTTTGCCGCGCTGTCGTCAATGTGTTAAAAGTAGTTGGAGAGGTAGTATTTGTGCTAAGATTGTGAACGGCAAAAGCATATGTGTAGAAGGGCTTTCAATTCTCATTTAGCCCACATGAGTTTTTTTTTCAATTATTTTGCCTTAATTTTTTTGAAATGATCTTTTCATGAATTTTGTTAGAATCTGTCAGCGGGCAGGGTTTGGAATTGGCTAGCGCTGTGGAAGTAATGGGGCTTGAGAACTTCTTCTGAGAAGCACACGCTGCCACAGTAGTGGTGTCCGCTTGTTTGGTTATGTTAAAGACAAATCTGTCCCTGTTCGGGAGTGGAGTTTGCTTAGGGTATTTTACCTTATTCTTTTTAAGCCTTTTGGCTTGTATATATGTGATTGCAAATCGGTGGCTTTGTAATATTTATTGTGGTCGTACAAATGCCCCGTATCAGTGGCTTTTCGGCTATTTATAGCCAGCCTGCTGATACGGGGGGACAAACGACCCCCTATCAGGGGTCAAAGGTCGAAGGGTCACGCAGAGCGAGACAAAATCCCAGAATAAAACTGGTGTATAAGGGCGCTTCGTAGTGAAGATGTGTTGCGAAAGGAGAAAGCAGCAAGGAGAGCAAGAGAAATCGTCGTATATGGAATTATGCCTTACCCCTACGTACGTCGATGTAATACGATGGCGAAGCAGGGATGATCAAAGAAAGCATAACCAGCTGAGAGCACGCAATTGAGATTACACGGTGATTCTGTACGAGCAGCTCGTGGGACCGTGAAGAGGGTCGATGTTGGTGGCCTCGTAATGGAATTGGCGCCCTAATCGCGCAATTTGATAACGAAACTGACACGATCTATTAAGATATGAACCCCACAATTTCCCTCGCAGTATCCGTCCTCGGGCTAATCCCGAGGTTTGCCTTTGAGTTTTTTGGTCAAAATGAAAAAGTACTGATTTGAAAAGCTGCTCGGGCGAGGGTCACATCAATGTCGAGGTCAAAGCTGAAAAGGGATACTGATGGACTCTGTATAGCTAATAATACTAAACCACGCGTTTCAGGCTTGATACACTCCGACATCAACGAAACAAATGTTCTCATGATTGAGGAGGATGGCCAAAAGAAGGTGATCGCACAGATTTTTTTTCCAGAAGAAGCATGTGTTTTTTCAAGACTAATCCATGAACGATTCGCCATTATCTCGGCATGGACATACAATTCCTTGTTTTTCTGCTCTAATTTCCAAGATTGGTATTAAGTTTATTCGTATCCGCGCCCTCAACCTCTTCGGAGCCTGCACATGGAAGCATATTTTTGAAACAAATTTATCCAGGGCCTTTTTTTCAGATTACGAGAAGGGAAAGCTAAGCGTAGAAACAAGGAATGAATGATGTCTTCAAACGCTGATCTTTTTAGAGATAACCCTTCTATGACATGATAAACTACAATACATACCTATTAGAGGATGAAGACGAAGCAATTAGACATTTTCAAAAAATAAAAAATCTTAGTCAGTCTGCAGCCATTCACAAGCTTACACTCACAACTAGCTATCCGTAACCTACACGGCTGGAAGTCAACGGCTTGTGAGCAGGGTCAACCGTCCGTTGGACAAAGTCCAACGCGACGACGAGAGTAATGCCGAGAGTGAACGTACGCACGGAGACACAGACGGCTCGCGGGTGGCGAGAGTGAATGCCGGCGCGGAGAGCGGTGAACATCGGTCCAACGTCGCTCCAATATCGGTCCAACGTAACGGTTGACCCTGCTTGAACTTCGTATAGCCTAGAGATTCAAGAATTTTTGCCCAATTGAGCAAATATTTCTGATCTGTATATTAATATAATCAACAATGAATCATATATTATCTGTTTATGCATCACTACTGCAATAATTACCACCTAATATTTCAATCTCGCATTGAACCTACGTCCCTTGAGCCTTTACATATCATAATTCAACCAGTAACATATAGTCGACATGGCTACAGGGAAGAGGGGGTGGGGACGGGGGTAGCATTGGAAAAAGACTAATTTGTCTCCCCTTCAAACGCATTTAATATTTTCTTGCCGATTCCCCATTAAACAAACATTCTTTTTGACCAGATGAGAACACGTTTTCATTTTATAAAAAATATACGACGTGACCACTATTCTGACTACAGGGGCGATCACACTAGCTGAATTTAAACCGAATGCTCTCAACTTGAAATTGAAGGGCATCCTTCGGTTTTATGAAAAAAACCTTCATAGTAGTCTTCTACGTGGGCAACATCAAAAAAAAAACCTGCCGCGGAAACATTGCACATGCTTGAACTAGCGGTCCATCCAGGCATTCGTGTAACGAATGTACGAAGTTCTTTGGAACGCTGGTTGAGGCGTTTTCTGGAAAGCCGGTTGGGGGGGGGGTTGCATGGTCAGAGCTGCTGTCTCAAGAAATCTGTTTACTAGTGAATGGATTGAAGAAATCGGGTTGCAACTATTAACTGGGGCAATTACGGTAGGCATCCTTGAGGTCGACAGCGATGGAAGACGAGGTCATATTCTGGTGAATGTGAGGACGGAGAAAGGGGGTGGTTCCATTTAGGGGGCATTTCAGGAATACTGCACTTTTGACTTCTGTCAACGGCGGCAAACCCGCTCGAAAAGCTTGAGTTGCTAGGCAGGGTTAGATGCAAGAGGTAGCCTCCAACTGCAGTAAAGGACGCAACTTGTGAACTTGCGCCTTCTGCGCCCCTCGAAAAATTTATTTTTGTTCTCAGATTACTGGGCTGCTCGACTTCGGAGACGTACACAAATCCTACAGGATAATTGACATTGCTTCGACTGTGCTGTATCTGCATTTATCGGATAAACAAAAACAAGGGTGAGCTTTTACAGATTTTTTTTTCACTGCATTCAATACAGGTGCCTTTAGTAAAACTCTACCACTATTATACTGCTTCACATTTTTTTCTCAAACTCCGAACACACCAACGCTTCCATTTACAGTGTGCCTTCTCTCACAAATGCTGTCCTCGAAGGCTATCGTAGAGTTCGAGAAGCCCCTGACTGCACTCATTTGATCACTGCGATGAAGGCTAGGTTGTCGTGCTCTCTAATCTATGGATTGAGGTACGCATTAATAGCATTTCTCGTGTCCTGGGCAGGATTCATCCTCCCCCAGGGGGTTGGGACGAAAATCCCTTTAAATTTGTTTTTAACGATATAGTTTCTTCATTTTCAGTGCATGTTTACTTTGACCTACATACATACATTAAATGTAGGCCCTTTATCAGGACAATCCCAGTTGGGAAGACAGAAATTTAAAGGGATTTTCGTCCCCAACCCCTTGGGGGAGGATTGAATACGGCCCTATATTCGAAGAATCGATAGCGCTATAAACGCATTAGTGCTCCAGTGATCAGCTACAATTTTGGGATGAAGCCTGCACAGCTTAGTGTAGTACCAATTTGAGCGCTATTTGACTTAGCTTTGCGTTCATTTTGATAAGTAGAAGATCAGAACCTTTTTGTCAACGAGTTCCAGGACAGCTCGAATAAACTTGCGAGGTGGAAATGTTGACTATGTGCTGCGCACGCAGTCAAACGGTTGGAGTGTCTTGCAGGTATGTTCAAATGAGATGCCATCAGTATCTTACTCAATGTTTCCTTTATAGGAGCTGCATCATGAAGAAAGGCAAAAGAAAAGTGCGATTGACGACAACTGAGTGTAAGCGAAGAAAAATCGCCCACCTAGGTGATATCCAACAGAAAAACTTGTCAGCCTTGAGACGACGTTGAAGATTTTTCCATTGTTCGTTCCTACATCTTATAAACACACCAGCTTTGCT